TAAATGTATTGAGTATTTTAATTATAAATCTTTATATGAACAATCATTTATAGAATTTAATTGTAAATAAAAAATTGAATTGTTTTATATTTATTTTTTTGTTTTTTGGAAATAGACCAATTATAAGATGAAGTCTTCAAAAATCTCAAATATTGTATTGTATTGAAAGATTTTGTATGCATTGATAACGCATACCTTAATTATTATAAACCGTACTGGTAAAAAATTAAGATTTTTTAAGAAAAAAAACCTATATCCATTATAATATAGTATATATAAGTCATGCCAAAGGTGGAAGCGGCGCTATTTGACTATAAAAAATAAAGATATAGATATTTTCCACAAAATCATCATTGGACTATTGATTAGTTTTTTGCTTTCACATGTGAGGTCATGTTTTCGAGTCTTATATTGTAAAAAAATTCAGAAACATAATAAATCTGAAATTAAAAGCTAAAAACTAAAGAAAATGACACAAATGGGATCGGAACTCAAGTCTAGGGTGAGAGAAAAGCCGTGCAAACCAACTCTACAAAGGGAAACTTGTGTCGTCATTGTAGTTTCAAAATTTAAATGATTGCATAGAACAAAATGATACAATGACACCTTCACTATAGTAAGATGTTCGTTTTTGCAGGAAGTGAAGGTATCGAAGAGATCTTCTCTCCACGAAAAGGGAGCAGTGGCGATAATAGCATCGGCCCGGGGGATCCGTTCGGATCCGCAGATAATAATTGTTCATCCATAGATTCAACATTAGCTTCATTGGAAGCAACATTGTTGGATTCACAGTCCATTTGTTCATCCCTTTCTTCAGAAGTAACCACTTCCAATCTTCATACTGTACAACAACTCTCCCAGAAACTAGAAAGTATGCACAGATTCTTGATGAAGTTGCGCAATCAGGTATAGTTTCCTTTTCTTCTTTTTTTTTTATTACAATTTTGGAACAAATTATGTAGTTTTATATTATTTTCAAATCTTAGCTTTATATGTTTTCTATTTACCTCTCTTTTTTTCTAACTCCAATAGATTCTCTATTATATTGTTAAAATATTTCATTCATCTGATCTCTAAATATTCAATTTCAAAGTTTCCTGTCAGTGAAAATATATTAAAAAAAATATTGCTCTCTCATTGTTATCATTTTTTGGTATTATCCGAATTTGGAGAATTTCAAACTCTCTCGTACTTTCTCCATTTTGGAGAAAGGTTTTTGAGAATTTGTCGGAGCAAAAAACATATCAAAATCCTCAAAATCTTTATTTTCTGAATTTTAGAGAATCCATTGGAGATGTTGCTAGTATAGTTCTGTTGGTTGGTTCATTGTCCTTACATAGAAGAGACTCATGTTCAAGTCCTGTCTATGTATATTTTTAAGAACACAAGAGGTATAAAAAAAATTGACAACTACAAGAGTCGAACCTGGGCCATTTGTACAACGATAGGAGTGTTTACCATCTCATGCATTAAAGTCTCGTGTTAACATTTTAGTTTCAAACACTATATGGTGGCAAACATCCAACAAAACAATAAGATGGCTCCCTTTAGAAACATTTTTTTCCTCTTATGACAACCATAATACGATGGCATGTGCCACCGTATCATTCCATGCCCCCCCCCCCCAATGCTTCTCACAAGTCGGGGTTTTCTTGGAAATGGTTGCTTCTCGAGGGCGGACTTAGGTATGAGCTAGGGGGTGTACATTCCTCGCTCTGTGTCGACTCTTGATGCATTGGGCAAAAAACAGAGGTATTAAAAGGGTGTACCTGCTTTAGATTGATGTATGTTTACTAACAAAAAGTGGTTGCAGTTTACTGGTGGTGTCATTGCATGTGGTAACAATAGCAGAAAAGAAAAACCACTTCGATGATGCAAAAAAAAAACCCTTACATATCATTTTTAAGGAAACCGTAGGTTACACAATTAATTTCTATTTAATTTTATATTAATCGAAAATATTTTATACACCCGCCTCTCTGGCTGCTCTACTATTTAGGATAGAGGTCAAGATTACATACATCTCATTCAAGACTCACCTCTCACCTCCAAATAGGATATGCAGGTCTCACATTTGTTTTGGTTTGTATTATTTTGTATGTAGCAGTTGCATGTACAATATATATAAGCAAATTGGTAAATCATTATATGTATGGAGACCATATGTAATATGTTAGATTGGAATTTGTACCAACAACCTTTCTTTAGCCCTTGGTATTTTTTTTATTAACTTGGATATCCAACCCGCAATGCGAGCTGACTAATCCCAAGACGACCACCTGCTTTACACATAGCTTAGAGTCATTGCATTTAAACCTCCATGGCTCACACGGGGATTTTTGTTTTTCCTTGGATTTGAACCTGAGACCTCCTGACACTTTTGATCTTTGGAGCCAAACTCAAACTAATCAGGCACCATCCTTATGGTTTAGCCCTTGGTATTATGTTCATGTTGATGGGTGAAGTTTGTTGCTCATTTTTACAATGTGTGGATTATGCTTTTTAGCTTGGGACTGGATTCTCTAATGGCTTGGTAACTTGGTTGTAAAATATTGCAGTTTTAGGGATCGTTTACTCAACGCCTATTTGGTAAGCTTTTATCGGCAAGAGTTGACACTTTCACTTAACCTATCGGGTAACACTTTAGTTTATTAAAAAGGTATTGTATGCATCAACACTTTTATCCGATAAGCGCTTATCGGTAAGAACCGCCATTTTCACTTACCAAATAAGCGTTTAGTAAATGACCCCTTAGTCTAATTATAAACTCGTAAACAATAATTAGGTGTGTTAAGGTACAATAGCAATATGGGATCATATAACACTTGATATCAAGAACGGGTATGTGTTGCAATTCGTAATTTCAACAATAGAGCGACATTCTCTTTGTTTCGAGTAGAGATTAGCATCAAGGACTGGATTGGTCACAAAGTGAATTGGGACCGGTTGGGTTGGATCAGTCGTGGAATATCTCAGTTTATATAGCGGTTAAAGGAACTGATCAGTTTGCACGGATTGATTTTTTTTCGTATTTGTAATCAAATAAAATATTATTTATTTAGAGTAAATACTATAATATAATGAAGTTATAAAACTAAGGGATTGTTTGTTTACCTCTTAATAGTTTCATTAAGAGGCAACCACTAAATCGTTAAGAGGTGAATCTTTTTTGACAAAAAAAAAAAGTCTCTTAATGTTTTAAAAACCCTTTGAATTACTTTATATCATGGGTCTCCCTTAATCATTCAGCGTCTCTAATTTTATTCTAAACAATTACCAAACAATTATATTTTTATTTTGCACTATATTATAAGAGTCTTCTAATCATTTTGGCCACTTAATTATTTTGCACCAAACCAATCAGTATCTGTCAAACAACCCCAAGAGTTAATATAAAAGAAGTGGACCGACGACGTTATATGGACAGGTTATACAAAATCTGGATATATTACATTTTATTTTCTAATTTGTTAAATATTAGAAGCATGCTTAATATAGGTTCTGATAATTTTTAGAAAATTGGGTAACTGTAGTTTTTGGGTCGATAAATCTCTAAAGTTTCGTTTGGTTTGAAGGAATGGAATGGATTTGGAAGTATTTGCATTTCAAATACATTCCCTAAGGTTTCGTTTAGTTTGTTGGATTGTCTGGATTTGAAATCCGAGAATTTAATTGAAATCCTTCAAACATAAGATTTTGAAATTCTTAGAGAGTGTTTGGGATTTCACGGGATTTCATATGATTGTATTGTATGCACTAAGATTTTAATTTTTTTTAAACATTCGTTTTGTTATAATAGATTAACAAAAATATTCGGTGAGCGAGGGAGCGGGGGCAAGTTTTGGGGGCGGGGCGGTGGTGAAGGTGATACTCGAGGAGGGAAGACGTGGCAGGCGCTCTCTCTCTCTCTCTCTCTCTCTCTATATATATATATATATATATATATAGGATTGAGATTAATAACTTTATGAACTAACCATGAGCATTGATTTTTAAAATATATATATATATATATATATATATATATATATAGGATTGAGATTAATAACTTTATGAACTAACCATGAGCATTGATTTTTAAAATATAGGGTTGAGATTCATCATATTATAAATTTAATTTATTACCCTTATAATCTCACGGTGAACATAGTAGCTCAAGGGTATTTATGTAAAAGAGAAGGTGCAATTAATATCATCGGTTACAAAAGGTAGAAATCGTATATGTTCAATTGTTTTCATATATGTTCAATTTGTGTTCATAATTACCACAAAAGTTCATATATGTTCAATTTGTATTCATGTTTGCCACAAATGTTATCATAAACAATTTTTAACTATCTCAATGTTATCGTGTTGTTTTCCAATGTCTTTATCCTAATTTCTTGAAAGATAACAAACCCTTTACTAGCGGGTCTCTTCCGCCAATCACAAATTTATAAATATTAAAAATGGAAGATCAATATTAAAAAATAAAAAAAAAATCACAAGATCAATATTTAAGATGTAAAAATCATGTAATTTTATGGATGTTGTAACTCAAAAAAAGAAAAAATACCCATATACCTTTAACATTAAATTCTTAGATAGTATAAACCTAATACCAAGATAGATTATGGTTAACAATTGAATCTCTCTCTCTACACGTGTGTGTGCGCACGCACATGTGTATAGCACGCACATGTGTATAGAGAGAGAGAAATCTAATCAAATGAGAATTGTTTTGTTTATGGTAACTGTAAGATACACTTTCAATCACAAATCAAATGTTAAATTAAGAAATTAATAATTTTAGAAATTTTAACTTAAAATATTAATTAAAAGCATATTAGGGATTTTATAAATATTTTCTCGCATCTCTCCTCTTTCCTCTCTCCAACGAATCTTATGCCGATAAATCTTATGTTAACACAAGATACACACTGTGATACCCAAATATACATACAAGATACACAATATGATATCATTTGTAAAACAATGAAAATAACAAAAATACACATTATGATACATTTCATATAACAGAGAAAATATATTGTGATACACATGAAATATTGTGAACGTTATCAATATGATATACTTTGATTCACAAACGTCTTTAAAATACGATATATATTAGGTAATTAATATACTAGGTAACTAATTTTAATTAATTAATTCCTTCTAAAAAATTAAATTAAATATTCTGATTAGTTATTAAAAATAAAATTATTATATTACCATTTTAGCTTATTTAAAAAATATCATTAAATATCTTAAACGAATGGTTCATATTGGATCTCAGTTACCACAAACTAATCAGTTATCCCATGAATGGTCCCATATGTGTGTGTGTGTGTGTGTGTGTATATATATATATATATAGACTTGGGATCACGTGAGACCAGCCTGTTTTCGTGAGACCCGTAAGACCAATTTTTTACACTTGAAACTTTACGGCAAAATGCTGTGAAGGTAACCTTCACAATGTTTTTGCTGTGAATTTTCAAGTGTAAAAATATGGTCTCACGGGTCTCACGAAAACAGTCTGGTCTCACGTAAAACCAACCCTATATATGTATATATATATATATATATATATATATATATATATATATATATATATATATAAACAAAAGATGGAAGTAAAAGAGAGGGATAGCAGGTTTATCTCATGGCTTCCTCCACCCTTTTCCATCCAATCCTCCCTTACCCATTCAAACCCTCCCTAAATCCACCACCTCACAAATCTTCCTCCATTAAATGCACCACTTCAAACCCACCCCCCGATTTCCCCTCTCCCGACTCCGACACCTCCACCACCACCAGCTCCGACACCTTCCCCATCGAGAAACGCCGCCGATCCGAGATCCTCCGTCACCGGAAATCCAATTCCAGCCTCGTAAAACCCGAGCCTCCCAATTTCGAAGTGGGATGGAAGAGAACCGTCCCGATACCGTTAGAGAAACCGGTAGGGTACGTGATAATGGACTTCTTAGAAAAGCTAGAGGAGCTGATGGGGAAGGAGTACGGGTCGACAGATTTGCTGGCGAAAGTGGCGGAGATCGTGGCGGAGAGGTCGAGAGAAGTGGCGGAGGAGCTGAGAGATGAAGGCAAAGTCGAAGATCGAATGGTGACAGAGCTTTGCAGAGTGTTGAAACTGTTGGAGATGGATCTGGCGATGGTGAAAGCTGCTGTGAAAGAGGAGACTTTGAACGAGAGGCTTCAACAGGCCAAGGCCAGGTGCCGCCAAGCCATTCTCGTAGCCAATTCATTTTGATCGCAAACTCGTTATCCCATGGCCATGGATGGCTAATTTTTAAATATGTTATGTATGGTCTAAATGAGTCAACCTTTTAACGAGCTACTCGATCTCGAGCACAAAATAAAGCTTGCTTAACCTAACGAGTCAAGCTTCATAATACCAATTGACTCGACCCGTTTGGAAGCTCGATTAAACTTTACGAGTCGAGTCGAACCGAGCCAAGCCAAACATATTTATATGTTTACAAATTATATAATCAATATATTAAAATTTCGAGCTCTCAATCTCGATTTCAAGCTCATAAACGAGTATCGAGCTCAAGCTCAAACATTGAAAAAATATTCAAGCTCGAGCCTGATATTGTTTTTTTTGAGCCTAGCTCAAATAACCTGCTACTCGGCTCGTTTACACCCCTACTCACAGCTTATTCGATCACCTATAGATATATATTTGGTAGTAGCTTAATGATATTAAAAGTGGCTTATTCAGTAAGCTTCTAAGGGAGAGCTTTATGCAAAAAGTCAAGTTTTTTCCAAACATACCTCTCCCAAATAAAAACATGTTCCTTCCATCTATGAAAAAACTCCCTCAAACTAAAACCTTCCCAATCCATACAGATTAATCCACAGAGACAACTTTTTCTGTACAGGATTTAATGGAAAACTAACCAATCAGCCCCTATCACTCATTTATTGGATTATTAATAATCTTTTAAACATAATATTAGATCATGCATGTTTACTAGAGGTCAAAATACAATTGAAATCTAATCAGCTGTCATAACTTTTTTCCACAATTAGTGTGTGTTTGGTACGCAAGATAAAACTAAACAGAACTTGTTCCACATTTGACATAACACTAGACTGGAACCACAAGGGTAGTGGCGTAGTGGTTGAGGTACTGGGGGATGTGGTGGAATATCTCATCTACCAAGTGTTCGATTCCATTCCAGGTTACGCAGCAATCGTGGACACTGAGTTTATCAGGGGTAATTTTCTCTCGTCACAGTTTGCCGTAATTAGTCCAGGCATAGCCTGGGACACCCTTCCAAAAAAAGGCACTAGATTGGGACAGAAACTGAGTCGACAAAAAAGCTTTTTTTTGTCTCATCAAAATAGACGGAACAAAAATCTGGGACACAGACAAGACTGGTAAATTACTAAACTCCTTATGTCAAATTAATATCCTAAAACCTTCTAGAATTCTTTCACCTGCCTACTCACTCTCGTCTGTTCTTTTTGCGTAACGAACGCACCCTACATGTAACAAAGGTTCAGTTCTTCCTACCAGCACACATTATGACATGCAACTGATAGATCATTAGAATGTCAAGTTGTCAATTAAATTATAATTCTTAATCACGTAGAAAAACATCACATCAAAATTTAATCGATTTACCAGGTAAAATATGTATGAAATAAGAACTCGACGTCTCTTACACTAATTAAGAAAAAAAAATAGTCGCACTAAATAAGAACAAAGACAAACTCGGTACTTTTGATGCATTTTGCCATTATAAAAACCTAGAGTAAATTAAATGGTCTTTATAGTTGGTCATGACTCGAGCTATATGTCGTTTTTGTTCCGATACCAGCTCTTGTTAGTCGGGATGTACGAAAGGGGGCTATGCTATACTTTTACATCCCAATTCATTGAACTTTAACATACGATACACTAATAAACGTAACTTTAAACTCGATAGTTTTCTTAAACAACATAAAAGTTAGTCTCGCTAATAATAATTTTCATGGGATGAATGATATGTACCTCAATTTCGTGATCATCACTTGAAGAATCAAAATGCAAACGATAGGGTCCTCAAAGCCGTACGGTATAAACCTTGTGTTGCATCTGAAAATCTAGTGTTTCACCATGTTAATTAGTGTGTGTTGCCAATAATCGAGACCTCACCTGTCGCCAATTCACAAGTAATATATTAAATGGACACACAAAATAAAGATCTTATTATGGTAGTAGGCGTTTAAGATAACATAAATTGGGACCACAAAGACTTGTCCTCTACCCAGATCCAACATGTTCGTTTGGACACATGAAATAACGATCTTATTATGGGTACCATATAGTTAGTCGGTGTGAAGATAACAGAAATGGGACCCACGATGATATAAACAAGCCCAGTATGCTCCACATGAAAGTGGGGTCTACTGGTGGGATGGGATGTACACAGACCTGTCCTCTACCTCAGATCCAACATGCTTGTTTGGACACACGAAATAAAGATCTTATTATGGGTACCATAGTTGGTGTAAGGATAATCGAAATGGGACCCCACAATGATATAAACAAGCCCAGTATATCCCCACCTCGAGGTGGGGTCTACGAGTGGGATGTACACAAACTTGTCCTCTATCCGTACCAACATGTTTGTTTGGACACAGAAATAAAGATAAAATTATGTGAACCATGTAGTTAGTGTGAAGATAACCAAAATGGGACCCACAAAAAGTATATATTGAAACCCAGACCAAATGATGGTTTATGAAAATATATACTGGAAAATGGAGGTACGTTGGGTAATTGGTTTTCCATTAACTCCTGTATGGATAAAGTTTTCTGTATAGATTGGAAGGTTTTTGTTTGGGAAATTTTTTCATAGATGAAAGGAGCGTGTTTTTTTAATTGGGAGAATCGATTTAGTTGATGGAAGAAGAGGGGGGCAGGTCTGAGGATCAACCGTAATGGGTGAGAGGAATGTTTGTGGTGACATAAATCCCTCCCTACAACTCATGAATCGATACAAATTGTGACCCCGATCTCGCAGATATTGGGTATTTTGGTTTGACACTGCTTCACACCCAAAAAGAAGGGAGCTACGTCTGAGTTAAACTTGGAGGACAGTGATATATGTTGTAAGTGATATATGTTGTATATGTAAATCCAAACTTCGTGTGGGGCTAATAGTTTTCATTTCCCATCTCATGGGAAGGCTCAATAAGAAAATGAGTCCAATACTAAAAAACCAATGAGTCACACACTAAGCATAGCAATTTTATCAAAAGATTTGACAAGTTTCGAATAAACCTGGCTTTCTACACAAAGCTCTTCCCTAGAAGCTTACTGAATAAGTCACTTTCTATATTCTTAAGCCACTACCAAATAGTCATGTATAGCTGACTGAATAAGCGTGAACCTCATGAAGCTCATTAAGCTGCTAACAAACAGGCCCTAACTCATTTTAGTTAAATAAGCATCACATACCTCTACTTCACTTTCTTTTTCTTCATCTTCTTCTTTCCCTCCTTGGCTTTGTCGAGGCTGATTTGCCAAAAGTCAATCGACATGCGTTAAGGACACGCAACACATGACAATCATCATCATGTATGTTTTTTAGCAAAACCTTTGCAGCTTTATGGGCTCCTGAAGCCAGAAGTGCCTGATACATCCTGCAAAAGAAATCCAAAAATAGATTATTATGCTGCCAATATTTTTTATATAAACCCAATCATGTGAAAAAGAAGAGAAGGTAATAAGGGTGCATTTAGAGTGTTCATCGCATCTAACTAAAACGAAGTCTAAGAAAAAGAAATGGATGCAAGTATGCTTTATGTTGTTGTAATCGGTCAAACTCATGTAATACATGTTCTTTTGCTAGAAATGAGAAGGGATGGAGATAACTTGGACTAAAGACTATTCTCATGGATTTCAAAGCTCTTGCTCATACTAAAATGTTTTGGGAAAGCTGAAATGAAAACCGTAAATACTCATGAAGATGTTCACGATGAATAACCCTACAATATTCATGAATATCATGATTTTCATTATTCATGCTATTCATCATGAAGAGTTGGTTCCATCTTCTCAAAATATTTAAAGTTTTCACTTGAACTTGCCCTAATGCTTCTTTTCAAGCATATATTTGACTAAGGTGGGTAAAGTTGTCTCTGTGTGGGTAAAGTTGTCACTGTGGATTAATATGTCTGTAGAGATTGGAAAAGTTTTTGTTTAGAAGGTTTTTTCATAGATGGAAGAAGCGTGTTTTTTAATTGAGAGGGGCAGGTTTGGAAAAAACTTGCTTTCTGCATAAAGCTCCCTCCTAGAAGCTTACTGAACAAGCCACTTTCTATATCATTAAGCCACTACCAAACACTAATGTATAGCTGACCGAATTACCTGCAATTCCCATTAAGCTCATTAAGCTGCTAATATTGTTGGCCCTAAAACTGATTCTCAACTACCTAACCCACTATTCAGTGTTCATTGTGCATTTTTTCAAGCATCAAGAGGCCAAAAAGATAACAAAGAGCCAATAACTACTCTCCATTGTACATGGAACCATAGGGGCGGTGGCATGGGGTGGGGCACAGGCATTATTAGGTTTCAGGATATATAATAATTGCCAAGTAGGGTAATCTAATGCAACTAACCTTACAAAAGTTAACACGTTGTATGGAAGACCAGCAGTCTGATATTCTTTCCAAACTATGAAAGAACGATCTAGATCTCTGGCATTAACACAAGCACTCAGAAGAAAATCAAGACTTCTCCTTGATGGTCGAATCCCAATATCTTCCTTAATGGCTTGAAGCAGATCCAAGCCGAACTGCACATCAATCGGCTCTGTTTCCACAATTGCGCAAAACACCTGATAAAGATCAACATGGCATACAAACTGAATATATGACATTTTGACATTGGTGATGGCATTGGCATCAACTAAAATATATGACACCAAAGGGTGAATGGTCCAGCAGTATCCGGGTCACAGGTAGATCCCAACCTCCTTGAAAGTCAAGTGTTCAAGAGTCACCAAAAGTGAGGACTGTGACCAAATTTTGCCTTATACTTCTATAGGGGGAGTTCATATGAGAACCATAAAGATTTTGCGAACATGGGAACCAACTATTTCAATTATTACTCGTGAATAATCTTGAATATCATGCATTTTCCCGATTCATGATATCGTGCATCTTCATCATGAATATCATATATTGGTTCGCAGGTTCCCAAAATATTTTTAAGGTTGTAATTTTACGTGCCCCTATTTATATATATATATATATATATAGAGAGAGAGAGAGAGAGAGAAAGAGGACCAATCAAATACAACCCTTCCCACTCTTACAACCCATACAATCTCATGTAAAACCATCCATTTTTTTATTTTGTTTTTGTTTTTTTTATTAACCTGGATATCCAACCCGCTATGCGAGCCGACTAATCTCAGGGCAACCACTTGTTTTGCAGATAGTCCGGAGTCACTGCATTTGAACCTCCGTAGCCACAAGGGGATTTTTATTTCTCCTTGGATTTGAACCTGGGACCTCCTGGTACTTTTGACCTTTGAAGCCAAACTCAAACCAATCATACACCACCCTTGTCGTTTGTTTTTTGTTTTTTTAATTAAGGGTAGTTTTCAACTGATCAAATGGTAAACATTGACGAAAATAATGGATTGTTAAGATTTGGTTGTAACATTTAGGGTTGGGTTCCGGTGAGAATGGAAGTTATGGTGAGGACGGTAAGGGATCTCCACCCTTGGATTAATCCTAATTGAAGATCAACACTAATGAGGTACACTGGAATGCACCGAATCAATTCTCATGATAAGCACAATTCATGGGATGGGGGTGAGATTAAAAGTGATCAAGGGTCCAAATCGCTTCTTACGCTTCTCACCTTAACTCCTATTCTCACACGATCCTCTATGTGTGTGTGTGTGTGTGTGTGTGTGTGTGTGTGTATATATATATATATAACAAACCCACAAACATCATGACATACTTGGGATATGATCAATTTTATGATGATAAAAGAGAGCAAGAAAATGACCTCATCAAAAAGACCTTCTGTAGCCGTTTCATTGGTGCACTTCTCCATACGTTGCTTAAGTAAATCAACGGCCGAGCTAAGAGAAGGTACAAATAAGTGAGTGAAAAATGCAAATCACAAAAATAAAGCATGAGTACAGACCATTATACCCTAAAAGCTTGTGCCGAACGCAATACAAGATGATCCTGGCACATCCATCATCCCAAAAGTCAAAATCCTTCAATTGCTTTAGAAGCTGAAGTAATCGGCTTAGCTCACCTTCAGATTGAAGATGTTCCTGAAAGATGTTTTGATAGTCTTAAGCACCTAAAAAAACACAACACACGAAACAAGAATTACATGGAACACTTACAATAAGGCATATAATGGATTTTGGCTCCAGATCTGCTGCATCTTGTTTGATTTCATCATATATTTCAAGGGCATTGGTCATTTGGCCTTGGCTAGCAAGTGCAGAAACAAGCACGCTTTTGATTTCATTCAGACTGTCTTTAGGAATTTTTTTGTCTGAAAGAACCTACAAGTGTAGTAGAAATCTCAATTGTGGAAAATTATAACATTTTTTACCAAATAAGGGAAACATAAGATGCCATTTACCAAACGCTTACTGGGTTAGCGCTTATCGGGTAAGGATGGCAAGGAGAAAGAATCTTAGCCGGTAAGTGGACTAAAGCAACAATGCAAATTGGGATGGGGTCAATGTCCAAAATTTAGACAGTCATAAAATCAGGACTTGCCCTCATTAAATAAATGGGTCCAAACATCTTTCTATGATTATATTGGATAAGCTAGTGAAAAGTGAATGGAGAGCTTCATAAAAGAAGATATCATAAATCCAAGCTTACCTGTTTTGCTTTCTCAAACAACCCACAAGCGGCATATGCATTTATAAGTGCCATATAAATGTGCTTTGTAGCTGTAACTCCTGATTCATCCAGCTCTTTACGATACTACAGAAAGCATCACCAATTAGCTTGAATTAAAACTGTTCGTAGATTACAAATGTTGTAACATCAGTACAAAAATAGACATCATCTACATCGATTCATATAACATAAAGTCCAAACATACAAAGATGATTAATAGGTTACACATGGGGACCAATATGTGATAAATAATGATTAAGAACACAACAGAAAAACCATCAAATATGCACCTCGAATGGCATCTGGACTGCCCCCTAGTTGGTAATACCTTGGACGTCTCAGGATTGGTTCTCCCATTCTCTCTGATTTTAGAGAATACGAAATCAAAGTTATGGGTCCCTTAGATAAATGTGGCTTCCAGTACAGGCTATGCAGAAGGGTCGGTGTAACATCTAAGGTTAACTGTACCAGATATTGTCCGCTTTGTCCCCACACCTGGACTCATGGTTTTAATATGCGTCTGATAGAGGAGGTATCCAGTCCCTTATAAGGCAACTTTCGTTCCCATTTCCAACCGATGTGGGATCTTACAATCCAACCCCCTTGGGAGCAAGGACGTTGGCACACTAGTCCGGATCCCGGCTATGATACCATCTGTAACATCCCAGATCAATCGTACCATATATTGTCCGCTTTGTCTCCACACCTGGATTCACGGTCTTAAAAACATCTAATAGAGGAGGTATCTAGTCCCTTATAAGACAACTTCCATTCTCTCCCCAACCAATGTGGGATCTCACAATCCAACCCCGTGGGAGCCTAGCGTCCTCGCTGGCACTAGTCTGATTCCCGGCTCTGACACCATTTGTAACATCCCTACCATGTCAGATATTGTCTGCTTTGTCCCCACACCTGGACTCACGGTTTCAAAACGCGTCTGATTGAGTCCCTTACAAGGCAACTTTCGTTCCCCTCCCCAACCAATGTGAGATCTTACAATCGGCTTGCACCATTAAGTTAAACACGCATTGCAGTTACTTATATTGTACTCATTAACAAAGGGTAGAAAAACTACCACTCCTCTTCTAGCACAAAAAAGTATCTAAAATGTAGTCAATATTAAGAGGCCGTTTACCAAACACTTATCGGGTCACTTACCTTACTAAATTAACATGGCAAGGGCCGAGAATCTTACCTTGTAAGAGGCAAGGCAAGGAACGAGAGTCTTACCCGGTATGTGAGGTACGACTCTAAGCGCTAACTAGGTAAGATTGTTGCACATGATGTCTTTTTGATAGCCAAGAATATTAATTGGTAAGGTTAGTGAAAATGGTGACTTTTAACAGTAAGCATTTTGGTGAACTATTGAACATCCCCCAAGTCTAGAGCAGACACTTATGAGTAAGGACTGAAATAACTTGAACAAGTAGGCATAATGTAACCCCAAAAGTGTAATAACTCACTTGGCACTATATGTTAATCTAGCATTGCAACAACTTTTAGCTTACTAGCAAAGAAAAAAACCTATACTCACCTTAGTGCACATAGAAATATCTTACATGTTATGAACTACATCTGGTGAGATAAAAAATTTATCTCTAACTTATGGTCAAAATTAAGTCTAGGACAGAAGCTCATAAGTAATGCTTCAGCTCATGTATGACTTTTATGGGCCAAGTAAACATAGCATCTCCAACAACTATGCTACAATTTTTTTACAATAGAGTACTAAAAGTAAAATCTTTAAGGAACAGCTACTCTATTTTAGCAATTCTAGCATTAATCATATTATTATAATATTCAATACATTCAGTAAAATATTATCTCTCTGCTAAACATTTATTTTCAATACCTCTTATTGGTGGGAAAGAATTAGAATACTATTTATCTCTCCTCTATAAAGTTTTAGAGATTTCTCTAAATTTAGATATTTCCATATTTAGGGGCCGTTTACTAAATGCTTACCCGAGTAAGCGGTTACCAAGTCACATTACCTTACCGGATGAATATGACGAAGACCAAGAATCTTACCCGGTAAAAGTAAGGCAAGGACCAAGAGCCTTACCCAGTGAGAGCGATGACTCTTACCACGGTTAGTGCTTACCGGGTAAATTGTTGCATACGATGTTTTTGTTGACTAAAATCTTGAGGCAAATACCAAGAGTCTTACCCGGTAAGTGAGATCGATGACTCTTACCACAGTTAGTGCTTACCGGGTAAATTGTTGCATACGATGCCGTTTTTGTTTACTAAAATCTTTTCCGGTAAGTGATAGTGTTGAATTGTACTGGTAAACGACCCTTTACTCTCTCTTCTTTTTTCAAGCTCCAAGAAATTAGCATTCCGATCATGTTAAATTTTGATTAAAAGAAAAAAAAAGTAGGGTTGTCCAAGGAGGACCCAAGAGTGTATATATTCCACTTACATTTAGTATATAATTCTGTCCATCCAAAGAAAAGATACACAAATCAATAAAAAGTTACCAAAACCCCTGAAAAGTATGTAAAAGCATACACTTTAGCACCCAATTAGGACTTCATTTCACATCTTCCCCAATCCTATATTGCTTCTTTTAGTCTTATTTTATGGTTTTACATTCAATGGAGCTAGGATGTAGGAAGTGGTATTGTTTTATGTATTTGGTGAACAAACTACTGATTTAAGCATTGTTGCAGCACGTGTTGCTACAGTGCTGGATATTGGCACGATCGTGGAAGATATTTTTGAAGTCTCATTTTGGAGAAGGACATCTTTAACTACTGATGGCAGCTGATTTGTGATAAAAGATGTTGTTGAAGATGCCTTGTTTATGTACTTGAGCATCTTTAGTTTTCAAGTTGACTTGTAGTTGGTTATTAACCTTTGGACATTTAAACTTTTGTACTTTCTAAGCATCTTTTGTTTCCCCTTAGCTACTATAAATATGGGGAGATTTCAGTTATAATAAAAAGCCCATCTGAATCAGAGCTTCTTACAAGCTTTGTATTATTGCAATTTTAGTATTTTACAAGTGTTCTTGCTTTACTGTCAGTTGCTACATCAACCTTTACAGCTTTCACTTTACTTTCCTTGCAAGTTTACTTTTAAGTCATTTACATATAGTCGTTTCCATTCATGTCATATACTTTTAAGCACTTACATTCAGTCATGCTAGGCTAAACATCTTAGTGTGGGTTTAAGTGAAAGTTGTGAGATTAAGCCAAGTGTTAGTGGATGATTGCTTTGTCAATAGCAATTTACTTCACTATTCACAAGTGGTTACAATAGTTCATCTCATAATCTTTGACAAATTGACACATGTTATTTTATTCAGATGAGTTGGACTTAAAATTAAGACAACGTAAATATTTTTACTAAGTGTTTTATAGAGGCTACAGAGAGCCGCAGCAACCTTATGGGTTGAAAACTATATGGAAAGAAAGGCAAGATATGTACTAGTTTGAAATTAATGCATCACCAAGTGCACTTCCAACATATGGTCTAATTTGAACTTCCTTGGAAGGCCATTCAATCCAGTAGTGTTGAGGAGACCTATTGCTACAGCAACCTTGTGTAATGTTTTAGCAATGTTCACTGCACTATTGCTAAAATCCAACCTGATCTTGCACCCATACTATCTTTTAATTATTATTACATTTATTTGATTACCAACTCTCAAAAGATATTGCTTCGAATTTACTCTTGAAATCTTGTTTTAAGGTTGACTTTTTGGTGACTCGTTGCTTTGAAAATCCCTGAGGAACAATATCTGGTATTACTTACCATTATTACTTGTTATACTTGGGAGTCATGTATACTTGCATAATTTACTTGTTGCTATAGCCTTTTGGGGTTATATATCCCACACACTGCCCCCCTGGGACTGATTGCAGCAAAAGAGACGACAAAACAGTTGACAAAAGAAAAAGATAATAAGAGGAAAACCACAAAGAAATTGAGTTAACCGTTATATACAAGGAAACTATGGTGACTATATTAGCCAAATCTCAGTAGATACCCACTCTAATATTACTAGATTAGCATATTTGATTACCTTTATGATATCATCTTCACTACTGCAATTGCCTATAATATAACTGAAAGTATGAGAATCTGGATTGAGACCTGAAGCCTCCATTTGTTTAAGAACCATCAGTGCTTTATTAAAGTTTTTCTGCAAAAAATTAAAAAAAAGAGAAGAATTTAAGGAAAGGGCAAGATAATCATGCACATATCATGAATGAAGCGTAAATAACAGTATGGATGCCATTTGTACTGCCAACAGTCTACAATATAAAAATCCTATATCCACATGCAGATATGTTGTCTGACATGATTATATCTGCATTGATGAACTTCAATGAATTATAAAAGAAAAATGGTAACAGAAAATCAAAGATACTGCACATAGGATTATAATCGTTCAGACAACTCTACACAAGTTGAAGTATTGGATGAGAACTTCAAGGGTCATGTTGTGCTAGATGAGAAACCTAGCTTCAGAAGCTTGATACATACAATCACAAAAGGAAAACACAAAATTACTGACGTTCCTAGGCAATAGAATGCCGAATATGCTATTTTTGGGTATTAATTCTAAATTTCTAATGCACTCGTATCTAGGTTCATCGTATTATATAGTATATTCCAAATGTTCAAATCTACATTTATTACCTCTAGCAGTATTATTATGGCCCAGCCAAATCTTGGGAGTTCTGAAGATGACAAATCAGTTACTTTTGTAATAAAAAGGCATATAAAACATAAAAAATATACTTCATAACTTTCTTCATGCCTCAAAGATACGACAAAGTAAGAGTCAAGAGTTTCAATGAAGCAGGCGGAATGCTAATGTTAATGGAGAACAGTAAGAGTCGAAAGTTTCAGCGGTGGCACCAAGAACTATTAGTAAGATGATAAAATGGAAATGTTGGGTACCACCATGAATTTCAGCGTAACTTGTATAAAAAAGAAACAGCCAAGTAAAGACACCACCATCTTGGAATTTGTATTTGTCAACTCATTTCTTAACAAGTATAAGACGATAAAGAATTGACCTGTCGAAAGTATCCACCCATTATCACATTGTACATGTTAACAGTAGGACACATATTCAACCTCCCTAGATCTTTAATCATGCCATATGCTCCATCAAACTGCCAATGACAAACAAAGGTATTAAATCCATTTCATATCAAAATGTTTGGGATTCAACTTTAGATTTAAATCAAATGCAAGAAGGATCACTTACATCCTTCATTTTTACACACAAACTTATCATACTTCTGTAGGTCTCGGCATTCGCTTTTATATCATGATCATCTATCATGGACTTTATCCGATAAACCTGTCATCCAAGAGGGTAATGTATGAATCATTGTCATGTAAATCAAACTAAACCAAACGTACTAAGTATGTCCCAATTGAAAGGGTCTAGGGTTGGGCTAGAATGCATGCAATATGAAACCATGATAACACTGATTAAATGTCTCTGTGCGAGTTAACTAAAAGCTTATATAAGATGCAAATAAATCAAACCAAACAACCCAAGTATATCCCATGCAGAGCTAAGGTTCAGAAGTAGAACGTATGCAGACCTTGCCGCTACCCCAAAGGGTAGAGAGGTCGTTTCAATGAAGACCCTTGGCTTGCAAAACAACAACAAAAACACAAGACAAGTAAAAAAATAGCATAATAATATACGAGTGTGTGCACACAACACACCAAACACGGTGAACAAAATAGGAAGCAGAGACACACGAGGGACATAAGATACAACAAGCACAGAATCACAAAGCATAGTAGTGACAACTAACAAGTACGTCGCATAAATATGTGCCTCAACCTCAGTCATGACTACTACTAATGTTGTCTACAAAGTTATAACCTCGTTCTCATCATCCTCTAATAAAGAACAAGAATAAACTGCTAGAAAGACTAGTGGAAGAATAAGTTTTTCATCCTTTCAACCATATCTGAAAGACTCTTCAGGATTGAGACAATAGATACATCATGATCCAGTTCAGATAATATTAAGGGTGATCTGGTGCACCAAAGTTTCCTCAGCTTTGTGAGGGTTGAATGGAAGTCCTTGCGAGCAGATTTTCTTTTATTTTGCAAGAAAGCTGTTTGCATGACTCGAACTAGTGAAACTTTCACTCACAGAGTAACCCTATTAGGGATTCTCCAAGGCTCACCCCTACAGATCCAATATTGGTTGTGAAAAATATCAATCACCAAGACAAAGGAGCCCAGATGACCTACCAAATTATAATCGCAGCTTGCATAACATGACGTTAGTAAGGTATTGAACATGTTTATCCGCACAGTTAGCCCATCTTCAAACATCGAATCAATTAAGTCAACAGCCAAATGTACCTGTCTCGATCAAGAACATGATGAACCATCAGCAATACTCAAAGTAACCGACAGCAAAAAATAGCATATGTTTGCATCAAAGCCAACCATAATATATACTATTAGATGAACTTTAATTCTTAGGGATGAAGAAGAACATATATAGATACACAAAAGGGGATACAAAAAAAGGTTCAGATTTTTCTCACCTCGAGTGACTCGCAAGAGGCTTTAATAAGCTTCTCGTAAGATATAGATGAAGATGCAACCTTCAATTCATCTTGCAAATTTTTGAACTTCACAAGAAATTCTTCAATCTTCAAATCAAGTAATTAAGATCAGAAAATGAAAGGTAGTTATGATCAACACTATATGTTTACAACATATTTCAAACTTCAAAGCATTATCAGCAAGGTGCTAGACAATCTTAGAAATGATAGTCCAAAACCACCAACATTCTTAGACGTTAGACCAAGCCAACTAGCAGAATTTAGATCTTGCATGCATGGTCTTTGGAAACATATAGGAGCACAAAAAGAATTCACATGTGGTAAGTATTGATGTAGAGAAGGTACAAGATGTAGTGTCAAGGAAAGTGATGTGATGAGCTCTTGAGAAGAATAAAAAATCCCCATATAACGTATAGGAATGTGATTAAATATATCTATAAGGGCGCAGTAACAACCATGAAAGCAAGTGATCTAAGATAAATATTTTCCCTATTACTACAGGGTTGCACAAGGGGTTTGCTTTAGTCATGAATGAACTCATGAACATGCCATATGGTAGATATATTGTGAATTGAAGTCTTTATCTTCATTCTTTAGTTTGGATGAGCTCATGAGGCCATACAATTATATGCCAAGGTGTATGCCATTTGCTAACAATCTACCAAAGAACTGGTGAATAGGTATACAAAAGTAACTCGAATATCCTATATAAAAGAACATGGAAGGATGATATTTCATGTCTAATGGCCCTAGGAGGTTTTACCTCTTTATACTTCCTATTAAGTTTAGCACTCTATAATTTCATTTTGGTTTAACTTTAAACATGCAAGAACTACTTTGGGATAAAATGCCTCTCAAGATTGTTGAACACGTTCATAGTGAAAAAGCATTTAATTTGAAAATCTAACATTTGCACTTTCCTTTATTGATGGAGATGTTAGCAGCCAAGTGAGCTATGAATCTTCTTCAAAACTACAATGTTGTAGCACAACGATAAAATTAAAATTACTTGAACTAGAAATGAGCCAAGATACTAGCCTTATAAGCCAACACTCCTACAAACCCTTGAGCATTAGCAACAAACCTAAGATTTACTATTTTCTTTTCTTTTTGTTGCAGATGTCAGTAGGCAAGTGATCAGCCTTAAAATCTTCCTGGAAATTACAACAAAGTAGCATGATGATAAAATTAGAAATACTTGGAACTAGCAATGAGCTAAGAGACTTCTAGGCTTTACAGGCCAACAATCCTATAGTCTAACTTTACACAGAAATTACTAAAGGCTTTGTCGTGATCGTTCAAACTCTCAAAGGCTACATGAAGATTATTAATATTGATAACTAGAAGTAACTACAAAACATGTTCGAAAAGCATTTATAAAGAGGACACCTCCACTTGTTTATATAATACTAGTTGTGTACCCGCGCAATGCGGCAGGTGCCATGAATTTTAACGATTTTGAAGTTCCACTGGTTTTATAAGATAAGATTTAACAATGATATAGGTTACACTTGGTCTTTACATATTAATACAATTTGAATAAATAAGAGTTATGGTTCCAATTACAGACTATCGATGAAAAAAATTGTATGACAGTTTAAAATCCAATATATTTAAAATCCAACATATTTAAACGACTCCACAAATGTATTCGATTTACATCAAGAGCAAAGAACCAAGAAACTTGAGTTTTAAGATAAACACTCAAAACCAATAAAGAAAACTACATATTTGACATATCATAAGCCATGAAAAGACAAAAAAAGATGGGTTTTAGAATGAAATTTCAACTGCTTACCTTCTTTCTTGTCCAAAAACTCAAATCAAGGTTAAATTAATACATTTATATATATATTTCAAAAAATCCCAAGAACATATTAATTCAAAACATATTATACAATACAATTTGGACAGCCTAACCCCAAAATATATAGTATATATATAAATAAATAACTATAAAAGTATAAATCGTAAATATTAAAAATATTTTTTCACAGTATATATAATATATAATAATATAATTAAGTCAAAAACTATTCAATATTGGACTCATTTCGAAAGCATTAACAAAACGATTATAATGGTGTAACTTGTTAAAATAAAAATGTAGTTTTTAAATATGTTTTAATTGATATACGATTATGTATGTTAATTTGATAAAGGTTTAAAATGAAACATTTAAAAGTAAAGGACGTAAAGTAAATCAATTAATTAATTATAGGGATATAAAGTGTAAATTTAAAATTATAATTTTAAAAAAATCGGTTGTGAGAGGGTGAGTGTATGTAAGGAGAGGAGGAGGTGAAAAAGTGAAAAAAGTGAGTATAAAGGGTATTTTGGTTATTTAAAATTTTAAGACTTTAAGACTTTTGCTAAATTTGCTTAATAAGATAATTGGTTGTGAGAGGGTGAGTGTATGTAAGGAGAGGAGAAGGTGAAAAAGTGAAAAAAGTGAAAAAAAGTGAAAAAAGTGAGTATAAAGGGTATTTTGGTCATTTAAAATTTTAAGACTTTAAGATTTTTGCTAAATTTGCTTAATAAGATAATATATATATAAGGAGCTTAAGAGTATTTAACTGGGAAATACAAGTTCTTCATCAACATCAAATGTCTCCACACTAGCATTAGCCACAATAAAGACATGGAGATACCTAAAAGATCCATCAGTGAGTGTGACTATAATGCAAGTTAGATAAAGGTATTCTACAACCACCATGTCAATAAGAAAGAAGCTACCAGCAAAGCAGAATTTTGTAATTCTGGACTTGATGAAATTACCAGCTACATTCATTACAAGTACTGACCGGTATGTTTGGTATGCTCTTTGCGTAACTGTAAATCAAGTTTGACAGTTCCTTCCCTTCATTATCTATATTTGAAAACCAAAAAATCAAAAAGGAAGGGTAAAAATCCTCTTCACTACAGACATAGTCTTGCATGCTTCAAGAAAATCTCAAATTCAGCTTCTATAGATTTCAGTGCAGAATTCAATTTTAAAAAAAAAAAGATTACCAACGGTTTTGAGTTCCATAATGAATTTTTTTGCATGGGACTCCAATGTAAGCCTTCCCAATGATTTAAAAATCCTTTCCCTACTCTCCTTCAACGAAACTTTCTTTATGTCTATTGTTTCTAACAGCATCAACACCTCCTCTTGCCTATCTCCTTCACACAAGGCTGCCAAATAACTCTCTGCAACATCAACAGTGTCAATAAGGTTCTGATATGGACATTAATGCATACTTATACTAGAATATGCCACTTAGTCATTTCAATTCACCTAGAAACATCATCAAACATTATACAATAAGGCAATCCAATTAAGAGCTTCAGATGCTAATTTCAAAGAAGATATTGAGTTTTAACAATTTGATATACATCGGTAACAATAATTATGTGTTGCTTCAATTCCGAATTGAGTGTCAACAGTCTATAGATGCCCAAGTATCCAAAACATTCAAAGCCCATGTGTAACTAATTGGCATAATTGACAGAAAAAAGCCCTGCGATAAGATTGTATAGCAAATATACAAATAAATCTTCAGACATTAGTTCATGAGATACAGAACGTCTGTGGTAGAGCTATGCACTGCAATCTGACAACCAGACTGGGATGGAGAAAACAGATTTTGCATTTGAAACATACCAAAACAATATTGGAGCCCTAGTATTACAAGTCAAATAGCAAAAACTTGTGGAAACATTAAGAGTATTTCATATAAACAAGCTAGAAAAAAATGGGCTTGGATACTTCAATACAAACCATTGAAGTTGGATGCATCACTGCCATGTGTATCTGCCAGAAGCATATGTATATTATCTTCGTTGCCTACTTTTATATATAGAAGCATCTCATAATAAGCTAGTTTTGAAAGAGACTTCGGATTTTCCTTCTTAATGTTATCACAGAAGAAGTGAAATTCTTCAACCATGCCCATGTCGATGATAAACATAAGAAGTGGGCCATAAGTTTCTTCCCCAATTTGGAAACCGCGTTCCTTCATAGTTTCAAATACCATATATGCCCTATGGAACTCTTCCAAAGTAACATCCTCGTCATTTGTATTCCTAGCCTTCTCTATGCAAACTTCTATCATAGCATTAAATTCTTTAACACCTGTTTCACGGCCCAATCTACCAAATACGTTTATAGTAGCCTTTGTCCCTAGTTTATGTGTACACAACCTAAGCAGCCTCCCAAAATGATTTCCCTGTGAACAGTTGTAGACCCATTTTTGCTTCCTAAACCTTGTATTTTCTTTGCGACGCAATGATGCACTGCTCTGAGATATAGTTGGCAGCCATGGTACATCCAAAATATGTTCGTCTGAAGCTGGTGAGTCATCTACATCTCCTGCAGTTCTATTATGATAAGTTGCAAAATAGTAAAGCGATATTTGAACGACAATCAATTTGTATAAAAACTGGATGAAACTTAACATGTGCAGCCTTACGATATGCATAAGGATTTTTAAGACATAAGACTTCAACTACCTAGTTAATCAGGTAATGAAGTAGAATATCAGAAAAAACAATGATGTTACACCAAAATCTTTTCTTTGGGGGGTAACCGTGGGTTTCCAGTCCAACTTACGCACACCCACTAATTCCCGAGGGACCACGAATGTCCTGGAGTCAGTGCAGATAAACCTCCATGGCCACAAGGGCTTTGGCAGACCCAAGATTTAAAATCAGGGAAGATGAGATTTCCACCACATCCCCCTAGCCTTAACCGGTATGCCATTGCCACAACCACCCAAGTGGTTAAATTCTTGCCTCCCAGTGCTGCAGATGGAGGTGCAACACTCACTTTTTAAACTTTTTCAAATTTTGAATAGCTTCTTAGTACATACTAATAGTTACTAAAAAAACCTTGTTATAGCCCATTCAAGGAACCGTCATACATATTACAGAGCATGGTCACCAAATACATACCGCACAATATAGAATTGATTCGTCCGCAAAGCTCGCTTTTTGCATCTGCTAGTCAATACGTTAAATATCAAAAATATTGGATCAGGTAAACGGAAAATTTGAGTGTTATGGAGGAAATCGTAACCATCATTCAATGACCAAAAAAAACTCGATCAACGTCAAGTGCAATTAAACCGCACCGTGAAATAAGATGAAATATAAAAGGTGTTCCTTTGCCAGTTAAAAAATCCAAGTTCAGAATCTGTATTCCTTCCATTTCCAATCACATAATAAGAATGAATACTTGTCGACACTTTTAGGTTGCGGTAAAACCTCGCAAATGAAGATGCCACACACCATACATAAAGTGTAGCATTTCTCATATACGCATAAAACAGTACGATCACCTACCGGAAATAGAAGCAGCGTTGTCAATCCTAATGCTCTCAACAGCTATCTCACTTAGAGGTTTGGATGATAAAGATTTATCCGATTGTGAGGGTTTAAGATGTGATGAGGAAGAAGAAGAAGAAGAAGAAGAATCTGGAGCCTCTGTAAATCGGATATAGTTTTTTAGGTTTACCTCTTGACCGGCGGAGGTGATGGCGGAACGAGTGAGGTTTTTGGCCGTGGGATCGGAGTACGTGGTGGCGGAGGATAGCAGCTTGGTGAGGGTTCTAGCCTTGGCGGACATTTGAGCATTTTGCACTTTTGGTGGGGGTTTCTTGTTTTTAAACAAACTCTACGTTTCTATTAAGGGGGTGTTTGGGATTGCTTATTTAAAACAACTTATGCTTTTTTGTAAAAGTGCTTATTAACTTATGTGGTATCAAATTGGAGTTTTGTAAAAAGTGTTTGGATTAGCTTATAACGGTATCAAAAAGCAATAAGTTGATAAGTTGGTTTTTAGTGTTTGGCAAATTTGGCTTATAGATGTAAAATTACCAAAAA